TGACGGGATTTAGGAGACCTGGGCCTTACACTTTTATACTCTAGATTTTGGATGCACGTGCCATTCACCTAAACTCTTTATAACTCTGCTTCCTTAGCTTTGAATACTCTCCCTGAAAAAGCAATGGAAAAAATATCCACTGAGGATTAACAACAAAAAAGAAGTTAAATGGGTCACACGTATCTGCTGCTACCTGCCATTCAATACAGCCGATACAGCCAGAGAAATGTTATTTTCTTCTCACCTTCATTTTAACATTCAGAAAAATAATGGAGAGTCGCCAGTTTAAAAGTTATTCAATCTCTTATATCAAGATTAAGCGAGGAGACTCAAATACAGACTGGTCCAGAGCTCTGTTGACCAACAGGGTAGTACAACAAAGATGTTTCTTTAAAGGATCATCCAACTGTCCTGGCCGGTTTGGCTCCTAGAATAGAGCGTCGGCCTGCGGGCTGAAGGATCCCGGGTTTGATTCCCGGTCAAAGGCACATGCCCGGGTGTGGGCTCGATCCCCAGGGTAGGTGCGTGCAGGAGGCAGCCGATCAGGGATTCTCTCTCATCATTGATGTTTCTCTCCCTTCCTCTCTGAAATCAATAAAAATACATTTTTAAAAAAGGATCATCAGACTATTCAGAAACATGCTGCCTCCTCCTAAAGCCCTAGATTAATTCCGAAAGGGGGCGTGGTGTGGACCAGCGATGCTGACCGGCGCGCCAAGCTTTCACCTGGTAGCAAAGCTATTCTCACCTCCCTGCTTATGGGAAGCCTTTCTCCTATTAATTTAGCTGCAGGTGAACGTGTGTAGCTAAAAGCCCTTTACAATCCCAATGGGCAGTGAGCATGTCAGGTGCCACACAATGACTGGGGGCCTCGATCCCACCAGCATTTTCCCTCCGGATCCGCGTTTCCTACTGACGCCTCCGGGCGGGAGGGGGAGGCGCGGGCTCAGCGCAGGTGCCACCGTCCCACCGTCCCCGTCTCTTCCCCGACAGGAGAACTCCCACCAGGTCACAGGGCTGGGAGGGAGGCGGCCACCGGCGGTGCAAACGCACCCTCCTCCCTCCACACGAAGCTAA